AAATCTGAATGGCATTGTACTACCTGGACACTGGAGACACGTCCCCAACCCTTACAGTGAGCGCCCCCCCAGGCCTTGCGTCATCAGAAAGCTCCTCATGCCGCCGCATCTTGACACAGTAGTCTCATTCTCCTGCTTCTCCTTCCCATCCTTTACTTCCTGAAAGAATAAAGACCATTTGAAAGACTTAGTTTTCTCGGACATTTTAGAGTAACTTTCCTTGGATATGATAACGGTCAAAAAGGCTTGGTTCAATGAATGCCTTAGGAAAACCTTAATTGTGCTTTAATTTGCATTAGACGGGGAGAAGATAGCACATGAGTTTCCTAAGCGCAAAACCTTAAATATCTTTCAGAGACAGCCAGAGCTCTACGGGTGGTTACGCGGGGTGCATGTGTTTAGAGCTACTTGGATCCCTTCCATGCGTGAATTTTTGTAGTAAGACATGCATTACAATTCAGGCAGCAATCAGACCAAATTCAGTGCTTTGTCTCTGCAAAGACTTGGTGGTCTCTTTCCAACTCCTAGGTGGAGATTAAATTCATATTTAATGAAAGAAGGCACAATCTTTTTATTGAGGAGTGCTCAGTCACTATTAAAAAATATGATCTATGATAAGTCTAATAACTTGAGATTTTTGTTTCTGGAACATATTAACAACGGCAAGAACTGCCATCCTATTGTTTCTTCACTGTTAAGCTAAGTGGGTGGGGGTGGAGCAATTCTGAGGATAGGAGCAAACTTAACTGAAAAGGAAAATTTAGCTTCACGTTAAAATTAGAAGGAATAATCAGTATATCTTTTACTTGTCACATTTGGTTTCCTTCAATGGGTAGCATTTTTCCTACAGTTAAGCAATGCATTGAAATATTTTCACACTTCAGAGCACGGAAAATGTGATGTACTCCTAAGCCAACGTCTGCATACTAAACACAAATTTAAAACGTGCCCCCAAAATTGTGGTTATAATTTTATTATAAGAATAACCATGACCGTGACCAAATACAAGACACAAGAAATATTTCACCTCTAGAAGTAATATTCCTGAAGAGGTGGATATTGCTAAAATATACATTAGGTTAAACCACAAGTCTAGATAAGCTGCTGATTGTCCAGTGTCAGGGAAGTCAGAATAAAGTTGAAGCTAAAAACCTATTCTGCTAAATTCCAGGTCATATGCACCAGGACACTTTTTCTCAGGAGCCCAGTGAAAAGGGGAGATGCTGTAAAATATGTACCTAACAAAGCTTGTCAGCAGCTCGAATGGAGCAAACCAGTCCAGATCTGAGAAGTCTAGGAAATAAATGAAGTTGAACATTTACTGCCAACAACCCTGTCACAGGGGCCACAGACAACTGGAGCCGTGCAGCTGGGGAGGGGAGGAGTCTGTAGCCAGAGAAGGCAGTGGAACGCACCCAGGGTGGATTATTTATGGTGTGCTGATGAAGCGGCAACTTTCCATATGAGGAACAGCTTAACAGAGGAACGGTCAAGCTAAACTAGGAAGTGGTCCAGTGAGAGAGAGAGAAAGAGCAACAAAAGCGGACGTGAATAAAGATGACAGGTAATAAAACAATACAAATCGAAAATGCTGTAACTTTCAGAAATAATTTAGGGCCAAAAGAGGAGGAAAAAAAAAATCGAGTTTTGCTGGCATTGGGACAATTTTCCAAGAAGCAAAAGACATGAAGCAAAATGCATGTGCTGAATTTTTAAGATCAAGTTTGTCTCCATGCCTTTCTAGCTAAAAGTTTGGTTGCTTCTAAGGCTGGTTGATACATAAAAAGGAAAGTGGGCCCGGGCGCGGTGGCTCAAGCCTGTAATCCCAGCACTTTGGGAGGCCGAGGCAGGTGGATCACAAGGTCAAGAGATCGAGACCATCCTGGTCAACATGGTGAAACCCCGTCTCTACTAAAAATACAAAACATTAGCCGGGCACAGTGGCGTGTGCCTGTAATCCCAGCTACTCAGGAGGCTGAGACAGGAGAATTCCCTGAACCCAGGAGGCGGAGGTTGCGGTGAGCCGAGATCGCGCCATTGCACTCCAGCCTGCGTAACAAGAGCGAAACTCGGTCTCAAAAAAAAAAAAAAAAAAAGAAAGTGGTAATTTTCTTATTTAACTGATGTATGCTTTTTTGTTTTGTTTTCAGCAAACATCTGCTGTACCCCATTCCATGTCAGGCACTGGACCCTGTAGGTCTCTGTGCTGAACCTCTGTTCACAGCAACAGTTCCTGCCCTCATGAGGCTTATTATCCAGTGTGAGAGGTGGACAAGTCCACCCTCAGCTTCTGGACAGCAAGATGGGTGCCATGATCACAGCTAGAACAGGGGCAAGGGCAGGACAGAGGCGCGGCTGCAGGAAGGAGGTACAACCTGGGCTGTGACCTGAGGAAAACACGCCCCAAAGTGAAGGCTGGAATGGAAATAATTGAGTGAATTCTGCTTTTTATTCTGATTGAATAGACAGTTACCAAACCTGCATGCAATCCAAATCCTAGTTTTTATTTAAAAATTAAAGTGCATTTCATGCAAAAATGCAAACTTCTGTGGTTCCTAGTAGTTTCCATTCCTGAATTCTGTACTTAAGATCTGTCTGCTCAAGCTTTCTACAATTTTCTTTTATATGGTACAAAATACCTCTTCTCCCAAGTCTGGCCAAAAGCCTAATAAATCCCAGCCACCAGTTACCACATGGCCCACGGGTGCCAGGCATTTCATGTGTGTCTCTTTGACTCTTCACAACTGTGCCTTGAGGTAGGACCGTCACTCGCATGTCACAGAGGAGGGAATGGAACCTAGGAGTGGGAACTCTCTCAAGGCCACACACAGTAAGTATGAGAGCACTTTGTTCTACACCACACCACCTCTGGCCTAAGTAGACAGATTGGGACTGTTCCAGTCACATTTCTACCCCAAGAAAGGCTCTGAGCTGTTCCTAAAGTAACTTCAGCTAAGTACCCTCTCATCTTCCTGCCTCCCCCACAGGAAGCCCTCTTCCCACCATTCTCAATGAAGCACTACTAGTAAGCACCAGACACTCCTTACTTTGGATAGCACTGGGGCTGTCTGTGTTGTAAGGCAGGGGAGTTTTGAAAAGCTGAGAACTGTAACACCGTACCACAAATGAACCCATGCACACTGACTTCCGGAGAGGGTCCTATACCCCACAAGCTTCCTTCTCTTAAAAAAGGAATTTTCTTAAAGATGAGTGTCACTCTTCCTTGGGTCTCCACCTGCGCCCTTGCTCTCCGCATGGATCAGTCTCGTTGAGTTGCCTAAATTTAGTTAGCATATTGGGGCCGCTGCTCTGAGATGCTCTGAAATGCAGCTGCTCTGAAATGTGGATCCAGCCAGAGTGCTGAATCATGAGCCCATCACATCTTCTCCAAACCTTTGCTCTTCTCCCCATTCCTCGCTGTGCTTCCTTCCAGAGACTGCCTATGACCTTGCTGTAAGCGTATGTGGAGAGATACGAGCCACAGTTGGGTCCCTCCACAGCCTAGGGGACTTCAGACTTTCCACAAGTGCTGGGTGGATGCATTCTGCCCCACACCTCTGTCTCCCTATGCACTCCACACTCACTACTCTGCCTTGGCCAATGGGCCAGCATTTTTAAAATACGACTTCGCATCTGAGGATTGAGCAGTCTATGAATTATTCCACGGTTTGAATTCAAGTTCCATGGTTAGAATTTAAATAGTATTCTTTGTAGAAGCCATTTGGTGATGTCTTCAAGACCAATCTTTCAAAAAACAAACTGGGAACTGGTTTGAATGGTAAAGAGATTTCATTATTAACCCGGAGTTCTAAAACTATCAAACAGTGGAGGTCTGATATTCCCTACTTGAAACTGGGTAAAGTATGATCGATAGACAAACCACAACACAATCTTTCAGATATTTCTATCCCTACTCTCTTCTCAAATTTACAAAACTATTTGCAAAACGACAAAGTTTTCTCTTTTTGTACTATTTGAGGCAAATCATGTCTATGAACACTGGCTTTTAAAACTGGACATTAAAAAAAGATTTAAGATCCACTAGCTTATCAATTAGAATTTAGTTCTCTGTTTACTTCCTTCAGCACAAAATATTATGAACATGGCTGGGCTGAGCTTCAGCAAACAGGGCTGGCCACACGTATGGTGTTTTCACCCAAGGCTGCGATTATCAGTAGGATGAGTCCTGAAAGTCCACTTTTCTAAGAAAATGATTTTGCAGCCAGAATGGCCAGAAACTTCAAATGACAACTTTACTGATTCGAGGTAATTTCCCAGGAATTTAAGAGGCAATCATTTACTCCTGACTTTCAAAGAGAACCCGGGCTTGAAAGGCGCAGTTCCATCTAAAATTGATCAGCTAGCGACAACCCTCTGAAGTTACTTGGGAGTGAGGGAGAACAGTTGAGACCTCTGCACATCTGGACTGAACTATCTAGTTCACTTTCCAGGTTGTAAATTTTCTGTCCCAAAGACTACTTGAAAATAACTTTTTACCAAGCAAGTGGATTTTTTATTAGCTGAAGTACTAAATTAAAAAAAATTATTTTGATACGGAACACTACAGCTGTAAGACTTGCCAACAACTAATCTTCAAGGAAACGTGCATTTAAGAAAATAGCAAAATTACAAGAAACAAAAATCTGAACCCTGAAAACCATTACTGCAGATGACAATCTTATTCAAATACTGATCTATATCATACTCAAATAAACCAGAGAATTTAATCAATATCAGCATTTACCATCTAATGTGATACTATGGTGGAGACTAAAAGGGTTTTGCTGCCTGGAAATTTTTGACATTCATCAATCTATACAAGCAGAAAACATCTGAACCAAAGTAAAGACACATACACACGTTTTCACTGAGAGCTGTATTTGAAGAACAGCCTATACTTCTCTAGATTTCAATCTCCAAATTTTGATATTTTTATTTATTCTCAAAGTCCAAGATATTAAGAATCAGTACATATGATTTTAAATTAAGACTGCATATAGTTAGAAAAAATGCTTTGAGAACATGTATTTTATTTCCTAAGACAATAAAACCACGTACAAAAATCACTTCTGTTCACTCACGCTGACCCCGTGTTGTTTGATCTTTGTGATGAAGCACCACCATAAAGCATGAAGCTCTGAGGGAGGGTGGCGGCAGAGCTCTCTCCTTAACCCCGGCCTGCCTGGGGGTTTCATTTCTCAGCTTCACTGGAAAGCTCAATCACTCCCTGGTTGGAGACCGTATTGAAAAGAGCCCACAGTTTGGAAGGGTCCTCACAGTTATGCTGGTGCTCCCAGTGGAGAAGGAGGTCCTCCTTCCGCCCCAGCACCTCTGCACAAAGGAGGCAGTTAAAGCCTGAATGGGACCACAAGAGGACCTTGCGGAGGCCGGGACGCTCAGGGCCCTGGCGGGTTTCCCTCGGCTTGTTGGCTCCTGACTGGGGTCCTTCCTTTTCCATGAGCATTTCCATGCCATTCTGAGGATGAAGGTGGAGCTGCCTTTTCAGTCTCGGGCATGCGTGTGACTCCTCTTTGGAGGAATGAGGCTTCTCCGGCTTCCCTCTCTCAGGATGCCGTTTCCAGTTGGGACTAGCGTGCTGCACCAGCTCTTCCTGAGTCCCACTGCTTCCTGGGAAGGTCCCCTCTTGCAGCCTGCCCTGAATTTCCTCTCCATGAACATAGAGCAAATGGAACTTTATTTCCGCAAAAGACTGAGCAGTAATTTGACAACGGCCACATTTGAATTGTAATTTGACTTCGTCTGCCTGGTTTAGAAGGAAGTCTTCTTCCAGGTTGGACTTGTTTTCCCTGAAAAGGGCAAAAATAGTGTACATAAGATTTCATGGAAAAACACAATTGGAACCTTCCCTCTCAGTTCTCAGCCTTCAGGGATCTAAAATACACACTGACGAGAAAGACAAGGGCTGGGGGAGCGCCTGAAAACACAGAGGACCGCAGTAAACGCCGACTGTCACTCCTGCCTGTGGCCACACATTTCTCCAGCTACCAGCTTCATTTACTAAGAGTCCTTCTCGCCGGGCGCGGTGGCTCAAGCCTGTAATCCCAGCACTTTGGGAGGCCGAGGCAGGTGGATCACGAGGTCGAGAGATCGAGACCATCCTGGTCAACATGGTGAAACCCCGTCTCTACTAAAAATACAAAAAACTAGCTGGGCATGGTGGCGCATGCCTGTAATCCCAGCTACTCAGGAGGCTGAGGCAGGAGAATTGCCTGAACCCAGGAGGCGGAGGTTGCGGTGAGCCGAGATCGCGCCATTGCACTCCAGCCTGGGTAACAAGAGCGAAACTCCGTCTCAAAAAAAAAAAAAAAAAGAGTCCTTCTCTTCATGCATCTGTCCCAGGCGAGCTAACTTGTCCTCGGTTACCACAGGGACAGGAGCAATCACATGGAAGAGTCTGGTAATAGCAGGTGAAGGGTATGGGAGCACCTTCAGCTCTGTTGAAGGTAACAGTCCCACCCTACCCGCTGTGGCTCTCCCTAACCTTGGGCACCAAATGTAGTTTGGACATTGTACCTAAAAAGCAAAATCTAACTACAGGAAAACAAGGAAGAAGTGAGGTTTCATTGTTCACTAGTGAAAGGTACAGAGGTCTTAAAGGGGAAACTACAGAAAAGCAAGGAAGAAATAGGACAGGGGGCCCTTACTTTCACTGAACATGACAGAGTGAGCCAACGTTGAATAGAAGGTACTGAGAGCAACTGGGACAACTGAAGAAAAGAAGGGGCAGGAATTGTAGAGCCTGGAAAAGGTTTACTTCTCATGACGCCGAAGACAGGTAATGCCATGAAACGCTCTCAGTCACCTCAGTAGAAACAGACGCACACAACCCAAACTGAGGCTGTTTTTCCAGCGTCATGGCTGCTTTCACGCCTGCCTGCCAGGCTTCCAAATTACTTAGCTTATTTGTTTATAATGATGGCAGGGGCAGGCCATCTGGAGTGGCCACTGCCGTCACGCAGGCTGCAGCAAGGAGGTGCGAGGCGGTGGCAGGAGGGGCTGGAGGGGCTGCAGGGGCAGCAGTGTGGTGGGGGGACCTCTGTGCCCCACGTCCTCAAGGCAGCTGACTGTGCTATCCCCATCCTCACATGGCTGGGCAGGACCTGCTCCCAGGCCCGGAGCCTCTGCTCTGGACTCAACCTCGTTCCCTGCCATGTCTCGGGAGCCAGCAAGCACCCGTCTGAAGGTACAGCCAGGATTTGCGGGGCTGGCCCCGACAGCATGGAGTTCATCTGTGTGGGGCTGGCCCCGACAGCATGGAGTTCATCTGTGTGGGGCTGGCCAGGGCCACCATGCTGCCTGCACCTCGCCTGCTGTTGCTGTGGGGAAAACGTGGAGGAGAGGTGGGCAGTCCCTTAAGCTCACTGTCCTGGGAGCTGCCGCGATGGGGCCAGGGTGAGTCACCTGCCAGCGGGGGAAACAGCACAGTGGGGCAGGGAGGAGTGGGGAGAGAGGGGCCCCGAGGCGGGGCTGGGCCGGGGGCAGTGTCACGCTCCAAGGAGCCGAGTGGGAGCTGGGGTGGAGCAGCAGCCCTGCCCCTTCCAAGCTGGCGGGGTGGGAGCTTCCCAGGTGCAACTGCAGCTGCCCAAGCTGCAGCTGTGACCCGGCACCCCTGTGCTCTTGGAAGCCGGGAGCAGGTGAGAGCCCTCCTGCCCTCCCAAGCGTCACTGTAGCCACCCTCCTGTGGCTGCAGATCCAGGCATCTCTGCACTCTCTGGGGTCCGGGAAGGCCCCTTTTCCCACATACCTCAGAAGTGCCTGCTCCTGCTGCCTGGCTTCTCTCTGCTGCCAGCTCCTGCTCCAATCTTAAAGCAAGGTTGGGGCTGAGCCTGGGCACTGCTGTACCCTGGCTGGCTGTGCACACACTGGAGGCAGCGCTGACATGCCAGCCCCCTACCACCGCAGTCCGCTCCGGACTTTGGGTGCCAATAAGCATGGGAGGGAGGCTGACGAGAGGGCACTGAGGATAGCTCGGTGCTGGCCTGCAGGTGCCCCTCAGCACGAACAGCCTGGGTGCCATAAACAGAAGCAGGAGGCAGAAAAGCTCCTGAGTGGAAGGGGGCAGGTTCCTGGTGAAGTCCCACCTTCAAGCCAGGGAAGCTCTGAAGTGTGGGGGCCAGGCTGCCCATCATGTGGACTGGAATGGGAACCTGTGGTGGAGTGGGAACCCGGTGCTTTTCTGGGCCTGTCCATGACCACCCATGGACCAACTGGCATGCACTTCCTCTCCTCTGATGCCCATAAAAGCCCTGGACTTAGCCAGACTTGAAAAGACAATGGGACGACCAGTGGCAGAGAGCTACCATCTCTGCTAAGAGCTGAATGCTCATCGGGACAACCTGAGTACAGAAAGGCACTGTGCCCTGCAGTTCGGCTCTGAGCTGTTCTATTGCTCAGTAAAGCTCCTCATCTTGCTCGCCCTCCACTTGTCTGTGTCCCTCATTCTTCCTGAACGCAGGACAAGAACTGGCGACCTGCGGTGGGGCTAAGAGAGCTGTAACACAAACAGGCTGAAACACGCCCCTTGCTTGCCACATTGTAGGTGAAGAGGAGAGAAAAGCTGCGTCCTTTCGGGAAGCTCAGACCTGGGAGCTCCCTGAGCCAGGGCTGTGACTCCCTCCTTGGGGCCCTGCGGTTCCCAGGGTATCCAAGCTTCTGGGCAACACTGCATTCCCGGTGCCGGCCATGGAAACTGCTTGCGCTATGCCTGGTCCAGCCGTGGGCTTGCAGGGAGCTGGCACCTGGAGCTCCCTGCCCTGCAGCAGCAGCTGGCATGCCTACCTATGCGCAGTGGCCAGACCCCATGCTTGCTCACACAGCCCTTGCCATTCTGTGCCTGGCTCGCCCTTGGCAGGCATGTGATCTAGGCTGACAGCGTGGGCCGAGCGCAGTCTGCCAGGCCGAGTGGGTGGAATGAGCCTAGTGAGCCAGAGCAGAACTCAGGCCACGGTGCCACTGGCCACAGAGGTTTCCAGTGGGTGAAACGACACCTTGAGGATCCTGTAACAAAAACACTGGGAATCAGCGCCTGCAAAAAGGAATGACACCAGAAAGAGCTAACCCGACCTGATAAGAAAAATAGGGCAAATGAAGACGGTGGGGTGTAGCCACCTTAAGGTACGGTCAACATGACAGACCTACCCACTCTCAGTCCCCACCATGGGTCATGCCGCATTTTGGGGCAAATGATGCTGCTTAAAATGTTGCAAATTCTGTGAATGTGATTTTGGGAGAAATTACTTGTAAAGACCTCTGGAACTATATACAGTAATATACCAGCTAGATTAGGGTAATGACAATCGTGGAAGATCAGAAACCAGAGAGAAATGAGATTCTTCTTCACAGAACTAGGAGGTATAGATAGCTACTATATGAAATCTTAATTCAAGAGATGTTTTATAAACGCTCCTCTCTGAATATAAAATCTTCCCCTCTTCCCCAAATCCAAACAGACTCTTGCTGGGCTTCCATCCCATCAGCACTCACGTCTCCGACGATCCCTCCGCGCCTCGCACGCTCGGGTCTCTGTTCTTTGGTACGTCTCCGGGCTGCAGTTCACTGGCTGCGGGCTCAGTACTGATCACAACTCTATGCACTTCTTTCAGATGGCCAAAATAGACTCGGACGTGACCAAACACTTTTGCACAAAACTCACAACACATGAGTTTCTTCAGACGGTTCTCACCATGATGAAGTTTCATGTGTGTGCTCAGGCTGCCAGGACGTACGTAGGACTTGCGACAAATCCGACAGCTGTAAGGCCGTCTGTTGGTGTGTGTATTCATGTGGTCTCGAAGGTGCTGTTTGAACTGAAAGTGGTGGTTACAGACGTGACATCTGTGCCAAGGCTTCTTAATGCCAGAGAATCCATTTCTGAACACAGAGCTGGGCTTAGGGGAAGGGCTGTTGTCCTGCTTACAGCCAAGGTATTTCAGAGTGAGTGAATTATTTAACAAAACGTCCTGTCCTAGGCCCCCAAGCATCTGGGATTGCAATGTAGTTGAAGAAGCCAGGGGAGCCAAGGTGGATATGGCCATGATAGGTTTGGGCATAATGCTACGATACTTCTTCATGGCCCCTGGCTTTTGGTCTCTGCATTCTTGGGGATCAGTTTTTACTCTTTCTTTACCATCTCTACATTTATTAATGAGACATTTCCTCCTTCTTCCTGGAAATGCCAAAATTTCATCTGGGACCTTCCGTTTTCTTCCTTTTCTCTTTGCTGCTCCACTGTTCAGTTTCGTGTTGTGGCCAAGATCAAATTTGGTGGCTGGACAGAAGGCACTTTCACAGGGACTGTGCTGTGACACTTGTGGAACAGGCGTCTTGCTTGCCACTTTGCTGGCTGCATTAAAGCCGTCTGCGGTGGAGGGTATCTTATCACAGTCTGCCTCAGGTCCTGGTAAAGAGTAACCTGCGATGTTAGTATCTGATTTGGTTTCGTAAACCTCCGCTGTCTTCATTCTTGAGTAGGGTGGGATTGGCAGTTTCCCTCTGGGGACTGAAGAGATAAACTGAACTGCATTGCCAAGAATGGTTGCTGATAAGCTGGTCATGGTTTCTGTAAGATCAACTTGTTGTTTAAGTTTTTCACTGGCAACAGCAGAAGGTTTACTAGATGTCTTCTTGCTTACAAAGTATGCTTTCCCCGAAAGATTTGTGAGGTCCTGCTTGGCAGGCTCCTCTGGTATGGATGACGCTGGAGTGGCAGGAGGGGTCGGACTGCCATGGGTGTTAGTCACTGGTGGTCTCAAGTCCCCATGGTCACTTCCATTGGTCAGCGCAGCTGTGCCAATGCTGGCTGGGGCTTGCTCTAGTGATGACACTTCCTCGAATGGACTGGGTTTGCATAGGAGTTCAGGGTGGTGAGGTGGGGACGGGGACGTCTGAGGACACATTTGGGTTTGGGCAGGAGCTTTGCCAGAGGCACTCTTAGGAAAGATCAGGAGGGGTTTCTTTCTCGATCCTTTGCTATTTCTCGGGGGTTGACATCGAGGAATAGGAAGTTTCACGTTTTCAGGTAGGGACATTTTGGGTTTCTGAACTGGCTGGGCTGAGGCAACATGTGGCAGAGCAACAAGAGAAAAGGTCCCCTCCTGGCCAGCAACCTGCATCAGAGCATAGTTCTGGGGAGACATCCCCAGCGGCTTGGAGTTGAAGGAGGGTCCCAGATTCACCTGATCCGAGAGTGATGGAGAGTGACATGGCACCATCCTGGACGTCAGGACTTTGGGCACAATTTTGGGTGCAATGGTCCTAAACTGACTCTTATTCTGCAAACCTTTCTTACTCTGTATTGTTCCAGAAGGGATGTTTGATTCACCTGCAATGAAAAATAAAACATAAAGAATTACTATATGTAACTGTCCTATTAGTGAGACTTCAAACAACAAGCGTCTTATTTCCTGTGCCCAGAACAGATTCTTTGACCTATCTCCAACGCTTTTGGACAAACTCTTGTGTCCCTCAGGACCGGCTTGAAGATCACTTCCTGCCTACCTTCCCCAAGGATTACTATACTCCTCTATGGCTCCCTAGCTCCTAATAGGCAATTGACCGTTTTCCGTAATAATTTATGTGTTTATGTGTATCTCTACTACTCAACACTGCTTGACAGTGAAGATTCCATCCTTCTCACCCATGTATTCCACAAGTCCATATTCTCCATTTAACCTGTCCCCACTCATTTTCACAAGCAGGGGGCAACCCCACCTTCTTTCCTGATCTCTTGAGATGCAAAGGCTCTTGTCTGGAATGTTGTGCTATGTATTTTCTTATTTTATATACATGTTCTGCTTTCCCAATGAAGCTTAAGCTTCATGACGGTAGAGCCTATATTCAATTCATCTTGATATTTCCCACTGTATCCTTTGTATGAAACAAGCGTTTCTTGTATCAAGCTCATTTTTCACTCGATTTCAGAATACACCATTTGACCCACTGGCAGTGCAACTTGCTTTGCACAGTGGATGAATTCCGGACTGAATGCTAGCTTTGTTGCTGTTTCCCCATGTGACTTGCGAATTTCTTCTCACACTTTTCAAACTGTTTATGTGTGCTTTTGCAATTAAATCACCGGTATTAAAAAAGCTGATGTGACACCTTTACAAAATATTGAACAAAACCAAAAAGATACAAAGAGATAAGTGAAGATACAGAGACAACATGACAAATATGTGAATGGCACAAAAAGCACCTTCTAGGATACTAATAGGAACACATTTAACTGATAGAATAACATTTCATTCTTTCTGGATTTATTAGCCTGACCTACAAGACCAATTACTCCTACCTTAAGAGAACAATTAAGGAAACATTTTGTTGCCTTGCTTCTGAAGACTGAATTATCTATTTTATTCTCTGAGGTCTCAAGGTCACAAGACCTGGGTGCAGAAAAATTTCTAATTTCTAAGTATCTCATATGAATCAAACTTCAATTCACATTTACTAGATACCTACATTATTCCAATTATTATTATTCCAAGGACTGGCTATTGCAAGCTTGCATCCCTTTTCTGAAATTTTTAGAGAAAGATACGGTTTGGAATTCACATTTTCAAAATTTGGAAAGTGGTAAGATGCATATACCAAATGTTACATAACTCCCAGCAGAATCAGCAAGGCACCCATAATTGAACCTATTACCACTTCTGTAGCAAAATATGCAAATATTCACAAGCAAGACAAATGAAGATTTTAAAATTGTCTTACTTCAGTTCAAGTTTTTGCTTCCGAATGAGTTTGGTACCCAACTTTTGATAAAATTCTGTTTTCAGAGTTTTTACATTTTACAACTTGTGGTTAAGGGACTGAAGACTATCTGTTTAGAGGATACAAGGCAGGTAGCAGACAATCTAGTGAAACAGACAACTGAAATTGCAAAATTGGCCAGGCATGGCCACGCCTATAATCCTAGCACTTTGGGAGGCTGAGGTGGGCGGAACACTTGAGGCCAGGAGTTAGAAACCAGCCTGGCCAATGTGGTGAAACTCGGTCTCTACTAAAAAATACAAAAATATTAAAGGGGCATGGTGGCGGGTGTCTGCAATCCCAGCTACTCAGAAGGCTGAGGCAGGAGAATTCCTTGAACCCTGGAGGCAGAGGGTGCAGTGAGCTGAGATTGTGCCACTGCACTCCAGCGTGAGTGACGGCCTAAGCGAGACTCCCTCTTAAAAAACAAAAAAGAAAATGTGAGATCAACCTTGATTTTAATGCCTATGGTGAGTGAATTAACAATTTTAGCAGGAAGTTGATTCTTTCAGCAGAAATGACACCCCTCTAAATAAGCAACCTAGTAGAAATAAGTTGAAATTTATATTGACCAGTTTATTTTTACAAAGTAATTATTGTTTTGTGAAGAAAAAGGATGTTATAAAACATAGTTCACAGGATAGCCTGCACTAGAGTAAGAAGTATACAGACTAGTGCTATGGTCTGGAAAAATCAGACAAAGATAGTTAGGTCATTTGTTGTTTTCCTTGTTAGTTTTGTTACCATGAATTCAGCTTATGAGTAAATTGAGTGGTAAAGCACTTCACAATAGTCATCTATATGGATTGCTACTTCTTCCTACACAATTTTACTTTTTTAAGTTTTCTTTTCATAGCCTTTAAATTTAAATGTTTTTCATTTTAAACCTCAGCTTCTCATCTTTTTTTTTTTTTTTTTTGAAGTACGAAAATAAGTTGTAAATAAATACTTTAAATCAGGATAGATTTTGCAGAAGGCCTAAAATTATTGATAGCTTTTGGTTACCTAGATACGTGGCTTATTAAATAATCTCATTAACAGTAATAATGATCTTTGCATTTACACAACAGATCTGGGGCGTTCAAGGGAGAGAAAATATTGAGTCATTTATCACTAGTTCTTCCTTCTAATTGAGCAGAAAAGATTTACTGCAAGATGAGCTAGAACAAAGGCTTAGTAACACACTCTCTTGAAAGATGATGTGACAGTAACACATCACAGCCTAAGATGTATGACTCACTCATCTCAAATCTGTCCAGTGGCTCTTCAGCTCATTCAGAGTAAAGCCAAAATCCCTGCAATGGCTTAAAAGGCCCCAGGCCTAAAAAGGTTCCTGGGAGCCTCTCTAACCCATTTCCTCCACTTGCTCTACTCCAGCTGTGGTAGCCTTTTTGCTGCTCTGGACATGCACCTCCTGAGAGGATGCTCTTGGCTGGGAGGAGCCCTGGCAACTCCCACCACCCGGGACAGTCTTCCCTCAATTCATCTCCAGTACTTGCTCCATCATTTCCTTCAAGGTATTACTCAAATAGCTTCTTCCCAGAGCTTCTTCTCTGATGACCTTAGGTAAAACCGTATCCCATTGTGAACTCCCTGCTCCCTCTTCCTGTTTAATTTTCTCTAGAACATATGCTCCATCTATGGCTGGGTGCAGTGGCTCATGCCTGTAATCTCAGCACTTTGGGAGACTGAGGCAAGCAGATCACTTGACGTAAAAAGTTCTAGACTAGCCTGGGCAACATGGTGAAACGCTGTTTCTACTAAAAATGTAAAAATTAGCTGGGCGTGGCGGCAGGCACCTGCAATCCCAACTACTCAGGAGGCTAAGGCAGGAGAATTGCTTGAAGCTGAGAGGCAGAGGTTGCAGTGAGACGAGATCATACCACTGTACTCCAGCCTGGGTGACACAGTGAGGCTGCATCTCCAATAAACAAACAAACACAAATATTACACACGTGGTCCACCTTCCCTAGAATTCCTAGAGGACAGGGAGTTGGTCTGTGTCTTCAAGGGCCTACAGTGTCCAGCACATGACAGAGATTTCCCAAATATTTGTGGCTTTTTTTCAAGTGGTAATAAAGTAATCAATGAGAAAAATAAATAATTTAGTGGTTGAGCCTTGGAAATTTTGTAAACAGTGGGGAAAAAAGACAATTTAAAAATGACCTTTAACATTGCAAAATTTTGAAAATTAAAAAATAAAAAGAGGCTATTTCTCTGAAACATTTTAAAATGTGATTTTATTTATCGCCAGAATAAGGAGCTAATCAACTAACCACCTGAGGAAATAACAAAAGACAATAGCAAATTATGCTGCTGGGGCATAAACTGAAATAGTCAAAGACACCACAAGCTCTCCAGAAGAAACTGCTTTAAAGAAAACAGACACACAGAGAAGAAGAGTAGGGGTGTTAGAATGAAGACAGAGGAACAACAGAAAGGGAAAGCAAACCTCAGAGGCAGAGCCTGGTAACTCAACACCAAGACAGAAATAACAGACAGCAGAAGATGCAGCTAAAGCAACAACAGTGGTCAAGGTCACCTCGACGTCTCTAAAGACTTAAGTTAGGAAGGGGCTTCCTATTTTTTATGACCAAGTGTGAGAAAGCAACCTTTTGACAGTTAAGGTTTCCAGAAATGAAACCAGATAACTTTATAGAGCCATACCAAAAGGGAGTGAGCTAATTATGATATATTTGAAGTTAATGTGCTTCAACTGATCTTCAAACGTCTCTACATTATAGTGGAAATAAAATCACACAGGAAGAGCAAGGGCATTCAAAGGAAAAGGAGGCCACTGTGGTCTGGGAACAAAAGGACGCTCCTGAGCTCTGTCCCGGCAGTGTGAGCAGCCTGGGCAACCTGAAGTGACAGAGACCCAGACGACAGGTATGACGTCTGCCAAACTGAGTCTGTGCTCCTCAAGGTCCCTGCAATTTAAAGAAGTGGATGTTGTGGTTCATGATCAACGAGCTAATCACAAAGGGTTTGTGGGGGAAAAAGATAAGGTCTTGCTGAGTAAATTTAACTTACTTATGCTTGCCTGGATCTATTAGAAAGTACGTACAAGGGTGAGGGTCTCCATGAAGGCGGTGTTGAACCCAGTTTCTCAGAATCATTGAGGATAGGAAACAAAATGTGTTAAGAGAAACGCAAGGCAGGAGAAGGACAACGAGGCCACAGAAACAGAAGGAAAAAACCCTGGTAATGACTTAAATGTCCACCAACAGGGTGCTAATAAGATAATCATCCAACCATACAGTGTTATCCCATACAGTAATAAGAATGAAGAATCAATCAGGGTGGTCTGGAATACTCTCCAAGATGGGAGATGTACGGTATGCTATCACTTGGATTAACAAAAATGAGAAGATACACACACAAATATATCCTGTATATGTGCAGAGTATCTCTGAAATGAAACAAGAAATCAGGATTACGGTGGCCTTTGTTGGGTGGCGGGACCTGGGGGGAACTAAGAATTCAGGAATGAGATAAGTGCTCATTTCCCATTGAATACCCTCTGTGCCTGGCACACAAGAGGTGCTTAGAAATACCTGTTTAATGAATGAA